TTCCCGACATGGCTCTATATATGTGTGAAGTAACACTAGTGTCACCTCAACAGTTCCTGAGTAATCGCCAAAACGCGACGGCCAAATTCATTTGAAACCCCTTATATTTAAAATTATTATTGAATGCAATTCCGATATATTGGTTAAAAAAGCTATTGTCCTTATCCTTATCAACGGCGGGCACGTAATAGTTGGGCCAAACTTTATAAATATTTAACTCAATGTAACTTCTATCGCAAATAAATACATATTTATCTGGAAACCGGTTTAATAAATCAAAAATTGATTTATCATCATTAATAGATACAATGTATTTCATTAACTGTTTCTCAGTTATATTCCAAATTTCCTGCAAAATATAATTTTTAAACTGTAAAACAAGGTTAACAAGTCAACGATCAAATAGGCCTAATTACTGGTAATACCAATTCAATTATAAAATACCAAAAACAATACTTACAAAATATTTGATAACAGAATCGACCAAGCTCGGATCATTGTAAAATATAACTTTCACTTTGCTATTAGTTTGAACGAGAAATAAGTCATCAATGGTTTCAATTGGCGGTGGCTTTAAAGGCATTGACATTCCGGCAAACAATACCCCACTATAGCTATACCTCAACACAAGTGCCGATAAAAGCCATATAATTATCAGTAATTTTAAGCCAATTTGCGAAGGAATCTCACGAATTGATTGCGAGAATAGTATTGATATTAAACTAGAACTTATTTTTAAACATCGATATTTGTAATAATTTATTGAATAAATACTAATTATAATTAGTAAACCAATTGATAATAATATGGATAACCAAATATAGTCATCAAATGGTTGCCACAAACTTGTATTGTAAAGTCCAGTGGAGTTAAATACAGGGGCTGTAAATGTAATCCTCTCGGTGAAATAGGGATAACTGAATTGCACCACGGTCAATCGATCGATTGATATACGTAGATCTCCCATACCAATATCAGTCCCCTGTAATAAGAATTACTATTTTATAAATTAATTGTATGTTTTAATTTTAAAACCTGATGATAAATGTTTCCAATAATTCCATCCCATGTATTGTTTGGTAATTTATTACCAAATTTATAATTACAGTCAATCAAACGGTACGTAAAATTGAAATAGTGACTTAATGTCAGCAATAAGTGTCCTTCAAAGCCATCAATTGGTTTTGTTTTATTAGTAATATATTGATTAACACCCGTTATATATGGCGCGAGCTATTATGGTAAAAATACATTAATTAGAAATATTCTATGAACTTTAAAATAAATTTTCAATTAACCTCATTTGTGGCCACAGTTAACTTTTTGCCCATTAAATCGTATTTCATTTTACATTTTTGATTACACTTTATTTAAATAAATATAAGATACAAAAATTTTACTAATTGTAAAACAAAGATGTTAATATATTAATAATCAAATTATGCATGGTTGTTTACAGTAATGGTAATTTATGTGAATACTTATTTTATTAAAATATTATATGTTTTTCTTACAAAGTTCTTACTTTATAAATAAACTATTTTTGCATTCAATTAAAATTATGTGTTGATGAATAATAAATAATTTTTTCATGGTAAATACAATAACATGCAATGCAATAATATGCTTTATACTAAATGTAATTATAAAAATTCATTAAAATTGTCACAATGAAAGCATTACAAACAATTCAGCTAGTATAATTAATTATATCAAATAAGAGAATAAAAGATTTCTATCATTAAAACAATTACTGAAATAACTGTCCTAAATATTACTATGACATTTATAAATTGTAAATTATTAAATCCAAATCTGGTAACACTATCATCGGTGTAATTATGGTGAATGGGATCACGCCTACCATATTGAACATTATAATTAAATAGTTGAACATAAATGTTATGGTCATAAATATTTGATTGCGTTAAATATCGTACCCTGTAGAATTAAATATTACCAATTTAATAAAATATAGAATAAAATTAAAAATATTGTTTTACAAATTAACAAGTTTATTTTTGATGATAGGGTTGAATCGTTTATTAATAGGGAATCCAATTACATGAACCGTTCCGTTGCCGTCCGTACCTCTCAAACCATATTCATTGTAAACAGACATTAAATTATGTGTAAAATAATTTTGTGTAATCATAACAGTGTTGTTGTGTTTCAATTGCAATATAGTGTCCACAGTCTGTAAATTGTTAAATAATTTGAGTTGTATTTTATATTTCTGTGTTATTTTCCACGAATCCTAATTGAAAATATATAAGTTTAATTAATTTTATATTAAAACAATGTCTACATTAAATACCTTCATCATTAATTTAGTCATGTAATTATTGTCACCGATTATATGTTTGATGTCATCTCTATTCATGAGGTCATCGATGCTTTCAATTATGTTTTCTTTGGTCAATACAATCATCGCTTGGATATCATTAAGGAATACATTTATGACCACAAGTGATACCAATAGCCAAATGCTTAACAAGTATTTTGAATGATATTGTCACGTATAAAAACTGTCCGTATGAATATTGTCATAAAAACAATCATTCAAAGGTGGCGCGCATAAAATGATAAGGGTCTTCCAGTAATTAGGTAATTAATTAGTCACTGTACTCATTACAGGACGTAGCCTATTTCTCCGGAACAGTTTTATGTGACGAGTTCGTGTAATAGTTTAACCTCGAAGTGAGAGACGAACGCGAGCAAGCGTTGCGGTAATCATTATCGGGCAAATATAAAATATCAATGATTAAATGATTTACTTACTTGAATTATTTTATAGATACATAATTAAATGATGCCTCTAGGGCTTGGTTGAATAAAAGAGTTTATTGATACAAAGTAATATAACATTTACTTACATCAGTGGATTACATTGATTGGATACATCGGTTAAATATAGCTTGGATTTCAATGGCGTGTAAAGCTTCGACAAGAGAGCACTCTCTCCCCAATTAGGATTTATAACTAATTTATCTAAAAGCTGATGGAAGCTCTTAGAGAGAACTCAGTATCAATTCTCAAGAGAATATCAACGAATCTCATTAGTAAAAGCTAGCTCTGAATAAACTGTGACAGGGTGTCACGGAAAAGTATCAATAAGTAAACTGTGACAGGGTGTCACGGAAAAGTATCTATAAGTAAACTGTGACAGGGTGTCACGGAAAAGTATCTATAAGTAAACTGTGACAGGGTGTCACGGAAAAGT